AGTGGATTCCCACTACACGTTTGTTCAATGTTACGGATGCGCCTGTAGCAAGGCACACCGTCATCCTCGTTGGAGGGAACTCTCGCTCAACATAGTTGAGCCTACTATCTTCTAGCGACTGGCGTCGAATAAAACTGTTCGACGCCCCACAGTCAACTAGGGCGCGAAGTAGACATTCCACTAGTAACTTCGATCTTCAAAGTGATGAGAGACTCCTCATCACTAGGGGCAGTAACACACAGCGACTGTGTGTTGGGAGCAATCTTCGTCAAGAGTCCTGCAAATTCTCTTGACGTTGCTGGATCAGCAGGGTGCTCCGCCCTACTGATCCTGTCCGTTCGTTGACGGTCCGACTTGCTGTCGCGGCTTGGCGACATGTTCGGACCCACGCCTCAGATCTTTCCTTGGCCAACGGTGGTCATCACGTCCTGTATTTGGACGTGTTGCAGCACTCGGAACACTACACTCATTAGCGTAGTGTCCAATCTTCTGACAGCCATGGCATCTTAGCCGTTCGCTTGTGACTCAGAGAGCGAGAGTTCTCGCTCTCGATGTGACAGAGGTCCATTGGTTCAAAACAATTTTGTTTCCTGTAGTCTCGTCGGACGATAGTTGGATGAGTTAGCCTGAGACTGTCTCAGGCTGAAGTCTTCTTGTTCCGCATACGCTGTCGCTTTTTCTAGAGTATGGAAGTCCTCTCGAAACATGTAGGTCTTCACCGGCCCATCTACAAGGCCATAGATGAACACGCTGATGAGCGTATACTCATCAACAGGGTTCTTCGTAACGCTACTTGCAAGGTAGCACAGGTGTTGTGCGTAAGCGTGCACGTCACGCTCACCTTGCTTTAGCCTCAAGAGTGCAGAGCGTGCTCTAAACTCGGCTCGTGGCGGCTCAAACGTCTCTTTGAGCCGAGACTTCAAGATCTCCAACACCTTAAACACGTTTGAGGCTTGAAGCTTCAGCCCTAAGACCCAAGTCTTTGCTCGTCTTGTCAAATTTGACAGGGCGAAGGTTCCTTGCATCTCATCATCCTAGATGTGACGGTCCCTGATGGCGTTGTCTATCTCGACAAACCATCTCAAAAGGAAAATTTCATCGGTTCCCTTGTACCTTGAGATGTCAATCTTCTAGGTTTCGGGTCGATGCATGTGCTTCGGTCCGCCCTTCGACGGATCAGAGTCTTCCTGCTGTAGCAATGCTATCTTCTGTCGTTCGACAGCCAGTTCCCTTGTAGGAACTTGTTGATAGCACCATGTTGCTGGTCTCTGCTTAGAGACTCCAACATACCACTGATGGCGGGTTCGCCCATGAGCACACTCATGCGGCCGACTACCTCCCATCTTGAGTCACATAGGTGGGAGTAGCCTTCACGTGTGACGAGATAATTGTCGTCTTCTACGTTCAACATGTTCATGTTGGACGGACACTAAGCAGTGTTGGACGGACTACAAAGGGCTACCAGGTGTATCGGGGCACCCTTTGTTTGGGGTGCCACGAAACTTTACGTACACTTCCACGTGCAGAGGAAGCTAATTTACTCAAACAGATCGTTTGGGTAAAGGGCAAGAAGAGTACTGTAAGTATTACAGTGAAGCTATCAATGTAACTTCAGTCTTTATCTAACTATATCAATCTACATTGTCGAACGACGACAACCTGCTCACCACTCATTACGCGCGTCTAGCAGCGATTGGCGGTAACTTTGGCTGATATGTCTTTATCAACCAATCTTTGAGCAGCGCATGTATGTTATTACACAAGGGGACAATGTTCTTTTAATTTTATTCATCTCGCATAACATTGGCAGGGAATTGTCACGCTAGACAATCTCCCTGTTGACACCAAACGGTGTCAATACCATTTAACGGGCTACCCCGTTACATTTGGAACCTATTTGTAACGTGTTTGTCTGAGGATAGGACCCCCATCCGAGCCGCACCTAACAAGAAGCGTTCATCTATCGGTCCGGCAGTCGTAAGTAGCCAACCCGAAACCTCTTTGCACGCATTAGGAGACGTTAGATCTGTTTCTTCGCAGGTGCCTGAATGTGTGTAGAGGTAGTGCGTGGAAGCTTTCAGCGCCCACCTACAGATATATCGTGATATGTCTTTCCAACGTATACACACTGTGAAAACCATTCTGACAAATCAGGTTTTGGTCCTCTCAATGCACTCCTTTTTTTAACTTGTTTAAGTTCTTCTCTTACCTTCTTGCCGATCGTAAGGAGTTTTGAATGATTTGTCGAACGACGACTCTTGTCTTGACTCAGACGATCGGTAGTTCGTAAGATTCGAACTATGATTGGCTAAAAACGGTAAGGTGCGGCGCTTGGCTAAGCGCAACTCGAGAAAATTTACAATTGCCTGCGGCCGTCTGATCGTCGCTGTAGTCGTTAGCGTCATTCTTGCATTCCCTGTTGCAATCTTGTTTGCCATCGTAGTTTTTTATCTTGTTCGTGGTTGTTGCTGGTGTTTTCGTGTTCGTCGTGTTTGTGAACATTATCGTGCTCGTACTTGTAGCTGCTAATGTTATGTTCCTTCCTCATTATTGTGGCTTGTAGTTGTTGTTGCCTCGGTCATCGTTATTGTGCTTCGTTCGTCGTCTTCGACACCATCTGTGTTGCTTGGTCTCTGATTTGCCATCACCAATTCCATCAAGAAACATAACGCCCACATTTTCCTGTGCGTATACATCTAAACCTCCACCTTCATCACTGCCCATAAGTGAGAGATGTCTCATCGTTTTGCTACTTCCTCGCGCATACTGCCGCTCGATGGAGTGGCCTCAAGATAAGATAGCAGGCTCATCCCTGCAGCGTAGATCAATCAGGATGTTCTGCTATTTTGATTTGTAAACAGAGCGTCGATTTTATAGCGGTTGTCATGATAATTAGCTCAAAAATAGGTCCGTACGAGACAGCGAATAACAAATGTGGGATTACACTTTGTCACGATCACTCATGGTTCACGTTGGACTCAACACACCTGAAGACAACTATCCGAACACGGTGGGCGGAGAGAGTTGCAGAGATAGGTTCGTTTTGTGACCTCAAGATCGTACTTTACTTAATCAAGGTAATTGTAACGGGGCACCCTGAAGCTTGTACTGGTGACAGTACAAGCTACTTATTCTGATAACAGAATAAGGCGGTGCCGCGTAACTTCACGTACACTCGTACGTGCAGAGGAAGACTGTAAGAAGAAGCGAGTACTTGGTTAGAGTAAAAAGTAGAACTGTATTTATAATAGTTAATGTCTGCAATAAATCACTATTTATCTTCATCTAACTATGTCTAAATACAAATGTGTAAATCAGTTATCTGCTCACCACTCATTGCGTGCGTCTGTCGTGGCGCGTCTTCGTTGGTTAATGTAATGGCCTATATCAACCAATTAGGAACTACTTGTAAGTGCAACAGAATATTTGTCCTTATGAATACATTCCGAGAATACAACTCTGATAGTTATATTCTATTAACAATTTCTTATAAATTGTTATGTAACGATTCACCCCGTTCATCACCCCCCCCCTGAACCATCAGTCACTTTAGTGACTGATTGACTAAATGGATACTCGTCCCAAATCATTTGGGACAGGGTTTGCACTTGTTGGTCCGAGTCCACTTTCCAACATTTCATCGCATGGTTAACAAGCCCATGCGATGCGCGAGCAAGGCCGCCGAGAGCGCGTCTGCACGTCTCTGTGCGGACGCCGAAGCAGAAACAACGGCAACTGATGTCCCATCGGTTGCTGAAGCGACCCAGCCTGTGTCACTTGGTGACGCAGGCGCTGGTCATGAAGACACTCGTGTCTTCACAGAGTACGAGCTCGGTGTCTCGTACTCTCCTGATACGGATGACGGATCCGTATCGACGGCAATTGAATCCAAGCCGCCTGCCAAGCGTGGCATGGACGATGCTTTGCGTCGCAGCATCTTTGGTTCATCTGATGAGTCAGATGAACCATCGCCGAAGCGAAGGCGCTCGAGGTCGCGAGACTCGGGCGCTAATAGTGGTGTCGGTTCTCCAATGGACACCACTTCACAGCGAGGTGCCAGTACTTCTGTCGGCACGTCGCAGGAAGAGCGGGACCGCAATGTGTTGCGTCTCGCTCCAGAAAAGAAGGCATGGATGCCTCCTAAATTCGTCATGGATCACTTGTCGGCGACGACGAGTGATCGTTATCGAACACGATTGTTTGATTCGTCAAGGATCCATCACCTTGACCCCAGCGCGAAAGACTATCGCGCTGAACATGAGTTCTTCATCGATGCTTTCTTCAGACATCGATGGTACAGTGGGAATCACAAACGTGATGGTCCCTCACTACTTCAGGCGTGGAACGCCTACATCCATAACCTCAAGGATGTAGGTCGTGACGCTTGGAACGACAAACTTATCAAAGCTCGTGATAAGTTTGAAAAGCGAACCCCGACAGGTGCACGCTACAAGCTGCATCTTCTGTCTAGAAGGAAAGGGTTACCTTGCCTTTCCTGGGGATACTCGTGCCCACGTTGTGTGAACAACTCTGCACGAGCACCTAAGGAGGCTTACCTCCTTACCAGCCCGTGGTGGCGCGTACGTGTCTCTACTGAGATGTACGAAGGGATTGACAACCTGAAATCCCTTTACGACCGTGTTGGGAAGACTTTTTCTGGCGGTCCTTCTGCGGCACAGGATGTGCCGCGTCGTACTGCTCAACCAGTCCCAGTACGTCAATCATCAATTGGGAGCGGGGCTCCCAAGTATCCCAGGACGGAGGATAGCTGCGCCACCGGACGAGACAACTCGTCCGACGTCCGTTTATATCGCGGTGGTTCAACAGCTGCTCAACCAGATAGCGCTGGCCACCGCGAGAGTCCTCTAATGGAGGTGGAGGAGGAGTAAAGACGCTCTCCACACGATCATGTGGATCGGTGTGTTCCCGAGAGCTTCTTTGATCGCGTAACGCAAGGGTTACGCGACGATCTCGAGCATGAGCGGAATAGGCGTCTCCAGATGGCGGACACTGCCTCGAAGCACCGAGCTGAGTTTGCCTTTGCTCAGCTCGAGAACGAGAGATCTCTGACATCTCTTCGTGACGAGCTAAGAGTAGCTCGTGGGATTGTTGATCGGTCTCGGGCTGAGATAACTGCTCTTCAGACCCTTGTTGATGCCCACCATCGGGAGCACAAGGCTCTCTGCGAGATGCTTGAGCGCAAGGGCGTTCTTCATCGGAAGAAGCAGCGTACTGATGGTACGGCTTAAGCCGACCAACGTAAAACGTGGGATGCGTTCGCATCTTACGTGGCAACTCGATCGTGTATGCATTGCCTAGGCGGTGCAATACACGAAAAGGGCCAATGTACTTGGGTAGTAGTTTACTGCTACCCAAGTTAGTCACTACATGCTTTGGTAGATTAACCGTAGACAGTAGGACTAAGTCACCTTCATTGAATAAAAGAGTGTTTGCCCTTCCATTCTTGTCTGCGTTTTGCTTTTGCTTATCCACCGCTTCGGCGATGGAGTCTTGCACAAAACGGACTACCGTTTCACGAGCCAGTATGAACTCATCTGATGACTCGTTAGCTTCAGTGTGCTGTGAGCGTACTGCAGAAACATCAACCTTTTCTTCAGTGAGGGCTTCCGCACTCTCACTGGGACCATCTTCTTCAGTGAGGGCTTCCGCACTCTCACTGGCATCATCTTCTTCGATATCGATGTTATCGATATCGGCATCAAACGCAATGACTTCTTCGTCAGAGCGTGATGAGCGTGAACCAAATCGGTTTTTGCTCGCGCGAGTCCCTCCCCCCCTTAAACCAGAATTACACTCTAGTAAGGTGGGGACACGCGGATGGCGCAAGCCATTCACGTAAAACGGTGTATGTGTCGTGGACGCATGCACCGAGTTGTTGATGGCAAACTCTACCATTGGCAAAAACTCACTCCAACTCTTAAAGGAGTGTACGTATCCTCGAAGTATCTCTTCAAGGACACGATTGGCACGTTCCGTCCGACCATCTGACTCTGGATGATCAGATGTTGACATCTTTAAGCGCGTTCCGAGTGATTTGAACACGGAACGCCAGAAATCAGCAGTGACCCGTGGATCTCTGTCTGATACGAGTTCACGGGGGCAACCCATGAAGTCGGAAGATGGTGTCAATAAAGACACAAACACAGCCACTTGCCGTGATTGTCTCTGGTACAGCCACAAGGTGTACCATTTTGCTGAATCTGTCTACAAATACGAGAATACCCGTATTCCCGCGTGCGTCTTTGGGTAACCCGAAGACGAAATCCATTGAGATGGATTCCCAGCACTCAGCCGGAACCGGTAGAGGCTGTAAAGGTGCACGCAGTGAAGGACTTGACTTCACTCGTTGGCAGACTTCGCATGCGCGAACATACTTTCGCACAAACTGATACTGGCGGGGCCAGTAAAAGTCTCGACTCACCGTGAGATATGTTTTCTCTCGGCCACGATGTCCTCCTATAGGAGCATCGTGATACTCGAACATGATCCGCAAACGCAGATCAGTATCATCTGGAATGACAACACGTGGTGTGTCACCAGAAACGGCTGTTTAAAACAGTAAACCGTTTCGAGTAGTGTATCGATCTGATGCAGATCGATACGCAGGCGACAATCGTTTCAACGATTCTCGGGATGGTTGGGAGAGATGTGACAACAACTTCACTATCTCACCATCTTGGGCGTATGCCCGCCTCACATCATCATACAATGTTGTAGATGGGACTGAGGACGTCATAACCGCAACAGTGACTGTCTCACTGTTGGGTTTCACGACTGGTTCAAAGTCGGACCGACGTGAGAGTGCATCATCGACGACATTAAGTCGTCCTGGTTTGTACTCGACCGTAGAGTTGTATTCTGCAAAGAATGACAACCACCGCGCCATTCGTTGTGAAAGGTGCGGGCTGTTCACTGCCGTGCGTAATGACGCATGGTCAGTGTAAACAACGAAGGGTCTATCTCCTAATAGATAGACTCTGAACTTCGCGAGTGCATACTTCATGGCAAGGAGTTCCTTGTCATGCACTGCATAGTTTCGCTCAGCTGGTTGCAGCTGACGCGACTGATAGCAGACGACGCGTTCAACGCCTTCAAGATCGTACTGCATTAATGCACAGCCGATTGCGAAATCGCTGGCATCACAGACCACATGAAATGGCCTGTCCTGATCGGCTATTGCTAGGACTGGGGATTGTATCAAGCTCTGCTTGATACCCTCAAAGGAGCGTTGACATTCAGCGTTCCACAACCACCTCTCGTTCTTTTTCAACAAACGAGAGAGGTGCACAGTCATCTCGGCGTAATTGCGTGAATACTTATGCAAATACGCCGCTAGCCCAAGGAATTTTCGAAGACCTTTGACATCGACCGGCACAGGCCAGTCGGTGATCGCCTTGATCTTTTCGGGATCAGGACGTACACCGTTCCTACCAACGATGCACCCAAGAAGTGGTATTTCGCTTGCTTCAAATATACACTTCTTGAGGTTAGCATACAATTGATGCTTTCGCATGATTGTAAGAACTTGTCGAACGTGGTACCTGTGAACCTCAACGTCCGACTTTCCATCCATAGCTCGACTATGGATGAAAACTTCATCAAAACAACTCGGCGCAAATTCTCGTACTGGTCTCAACAGATGTGATATACATCTGTTGAACGTGGCAGGGGCATTACTAAGCCCTTGTGGCATTACTAGCCATTCCCAGAGCATGCCGCTAGGCGTGCTAACTGCGGTATAGGGTATATCCCGTTCCCGCATTAGGATTTGATAGAAGCCATCCATCAAATCCATGGACGAAAAGATGGTACTCTTTGACATACCATCAATGATTACGTCCTTCCTTGGTATCGGCTTTTGAGCCGGTACCGTTGCAGCATTCAATTTGTTGAACGCGTGCACTATCCGCCACCCTCCTGTTGCTTTTCGCACACAGAAGGTCGGAGAGCTATGTGGAGAAGTTGATTCCCCCACATGGCCCGCAGCTAAACGATCGGCAAAGAACTTGTCGATCGCAAGTACTTGTTCACGAGGCAGTGGCCACTGCTTTATGACACAGTACTTCGAGCCTGGTTTAAGCTCGACCTCGTGTCGAATACCTTTATCCTCCGGTAATTCGCACGGAACAGTTTCAGGGAATACATCCTTGAATTCAACCAAATCTTCATAGATAGGATTTGTCTTGAGCGATTCCCACGATTGGAAGTCATATCGCTCAATTCGTGTCTTTTCATCTAGGACACTCTCGTCCATAGATGAACTACTGAGAACTCTCTCGTTCTCAGTAAACACTGTTGCTGACCTTATGTCGGTTACACACTCGTCGTCAGCGACGAGTACGCAGATATGCTTGACTTTGCCACTACGCAGATCACGCAAGAACCAATTATGTTCGAGCGTTGGCAACTGAGTGATCTCCGAAGTTAACTTCGGAGGCGCAATCAGATCAAGTGTATAAGCGCCTACACTTGATCCGTTATTGACTATGACATTCAATGTCTCTGTCATTTCCTGGGGACTTATTCCCTCAGGCTTCGAAGGACTTATTCCTTCGTCTTCCCGGGGACTTATTCCCGCGGGTTTCGGGGAACTTATTTCCGCCGTATTTGTAATCTTGGGACTTATTCCCTTTACTTCCTCTAGCTGGGGTTGCGCAACCACAGCGATATCCTCTACGAAAGACTCTCCAGTCGATCTAGGATTATCGTTTCGCTTAACCTAAGCGATCGATTGTTTCTCTTATAGATGTTCCCCTCTAGGGATACATCTTTGTCCCAGTCCACCCGACTTATTCGAGTGGTGGACCTTCGGCGCAGCCTGTGTTTCCTCACAGCCGCCGGAACTTTGCTCCGAAGTGTAACCGTTTGGTACACTAAGGTTTTGTGCAGTCGTACTAACGACCTTACCACAAGTGAGGCCATCGCACTCACTCGTAGTACATCCACACGCTTGTGGACGCTCCAAAACGTTCATCAGATGGCCATCTGATGAACAAGCGGCAGGCATCGTTACTGTTCGATGTTGCCATTTTACCCGTGGTTCGTACCTTCTGAGCCACGGTATTCCAAGGATGACATCAAATTTGTCATCCAAATCCAATACGATAAAGTCATCATCATATTGGGCATCTTCTAGCGTATAGTGGATCTTCACTATACGCTTCATGACGGTTACGGATGCGCCTGTCGCAAGACGTACCGTCATCCTCGTAGGAGGTGTGTCACATTCAACAAACTTGAAGTGACCATCTTCTAGCGATTGGCGTCGCACAAAATTGTTGGACGCCCCACAATCGACTAGAGCTCGAACGGAAAACTTATTCGTCACTTCGAGTTTCAAGGTAATGAGTGAGACCTCATTACCCAGAGCAGCAACGCACAACATTTGTGTGTTGGGAGCAAACTTCATCAAGAGGCCTACAAATTCTCTTGACGTTGCTAGACCAGTAGGGTGCTCCGCACCTACTGATCCTGACCGTTTTTTGACGGTCCATCCCGTTGTTGCGTCTTTGCACCAACTGCGGACCCTCGTCCCTGCCCCTTTCTCATGGGTGGACGGTCACTACGCCCAGTGTTGCGAGACACTGGACGAGGGGCACTACACTCGTAAGCGTAGTGTCCTGTCTTTTGACATCTGTTGCATTTTTCTGCAGCTTCTTGTAGTCTATAGAGCGAGCCTTCTCGCTCTCTACATAACAGAGTTCCATCGGCTCTGGACCTCCGTTGTCATATCGTCTCGGTTGACGATATGATGTCGAGCTGGCGCGAGCCTGTCTCAGACTGAAGTCTTCTTGCTCCGCAATGGAAATGGCTTGTTCTAGTGAATCTAGTTCAAGCCGGAACAGGTGAGTCTTGACGGGACCATCCGCAAGACCCTGCATGAACACCGAAACCAACGTGTGTTCATCCACTGGATTGGAACTTATACAACTCGTGAGATGTCGTATATGTTGAGCGTAAGCGTGAACATCACGCTTACCCTGCTTGAGCTTCAAGAGTTCGGTTCGAGCCCTGAACTCAGCTCTAGGCGGTTCAAACGTTTGTCTGAGCCGCGACTTGAAGACTTCCAACGACCCAAACGCATATGGTCGTGCAGCTTGAGCCCCAGTGCCCAAGTCTTGGCACGTCCTGCCAGATTTGACTGGGCAAATGCAACTTGCATATCCCCGTCGTCGATGCGACGCGCCCTTATGGCGTCATCCAATTCGACGAACCATCTCAAGAGGGA